TACTAACTTAGTTTCTAATTACAGAAAAATAACCAGTCTTACCGTGAGACATCAGGCTTCGGAAGGATGGATTTACATACTAACCCGTTTACACTAAGACTGTCCTAGAATCGACCATGCTCTGATACCAACTTGAAAGACCCTAACCCAAATTTTCAAAATTTTCATTCAAGTTCAAAGATACTTTCGATAAAACTTAACATAACCGCATAATATCGATAGACAAGTCAATAATGCGAAACAGATTACTTGAATTCCAAACGAGGTTCTAGTACAAACGGCAAGTTCGCTAATAAGCTATTACATCGTTTTCAACACTAGACCGAATTATTAAAACTATCCCAATCCACCATCCTTCCCTTTCCTTGCCTTCGTCTCACGAGCTGGTTCAGCCACAAGAATTACTTCCATTTCCTGCATCCAAAAGGAGGCGTAAGCAAACGAATTTGCTTAGTGGAGCGGTCGTCCCGTCACACTTGGCACAGTCAAGAAATCACATTCATTTATATCGATTCAAGAAGTTAAACAAGCAAGCCATAAACATAACATACCGTCGAGATAATTATCGGAACCAATATCGATTAACTATCAAGACATTATCGCGATAACACATAAACCATGACAAGCAAGAAAACATCAGTGAATCAATCAATGAAAACGACTCAAGACTCGGCCACGGTCACGCTCTCACCTTTCTCACACGGATTCACTTTCCGACACCTCTTGTCGCTTACTCGTCCGATCGGATCCAATAAACTCTCGCAAAGCACCCGGATCTACACCAAGAGCACAGATCTAACTCTTTTACCGACAATACTCGAAGAACAATCGATAAACACCAAGTTTACACGTTACTTACCAAGATTCTCGAGAATTACTCGATCTACTCTCGATCTTTCTCACGGATTCTCGACAAACACTTAACTTTCTCGATGAAAAGGTTGCCGATCGCCTTTAGGGTTCTTACGCGTGAAAACGCTAACAAATGGTCGGCAGGTCTTTATATAGGCTCGAGAAAATTCCCGATCCGTCGAGAATATTCGATGGAATATCCATTATTCCAATCTTCTTCGAGATTTTATCCGATTCTCCAACAACCATCGAGAATATCCAATCCCACGAATCTCGGCTTACCAACACAGGCGGGTTACCGAATCGGATCGACAAAATATCGAGCGGATCTTCGCATCACCGACAGCCACTCGATAGAGTTCCGACAACCAGTCCGATAAACACGCAATGGTCGATACTCTTCCGACAAACTTGTCCGAAAATCTTTTATTGTCCGAACAAATCAGAAGATTGTCCGAACACTCAACTTGTCCTTCGAACATTCGGATTTCCGACAGCATACACCGATCTTTCTCGATAAACTTCGATCGTACCGATAAATCCTCGACAAATTGATCAAATCTTCAATAAACTTATGTTTCCTCGACCATTGGCACGTCCAGTACCGGCTAGGATTCTTCGGAGACGGGCGTTACAATCACCCTGTCGTAACCCCTTCTTACCTTTAAAGTATCCACAAAGTTCTCCATTGACAGAAATAGAAAACCGTGTAGTTTTAATGCATTGGCTGATCCAGTGAATAAACTTTGTTGGAAAATTTGTTGCCACCAAGATGTCCATTATAAAACTCCATTCAATGGAATCAAACGCTTTCCTTAGATCAATCTTCAACATTCCTCTCTTGGAGATGCCACTCTTGTTATATCCCTGAATCAGTTCAGAAGCAAGCAGTACATTTTCCACAATTTTTCTCTCCTTCACAAAAGCTGTTTGGTTCTCTTGAATCATCTCTGGGAGTAGATTCTGAAGTCTTCTTGCCAGGAGTTTTGATATAACTTTATAAAGAGCATTAAGGCAAGAAATAGGCCTATACTCAGCCACAGTTTCTGCGTTGGTTACCTTAGCTATCATTGTGACTGCTGTGGAGTTCCAACTAGGTTCCATTTTGCCATTTGTGAAAAAACTTTGGATTGCATTAGTGACTTCCTCACCAACAATATCCCAGCAATGTCTGAAGAATTCTCCTGTAAACCCGTCTGGGCCAGGCGCTTTGTCTCTAGGAAGGGCAATGAATTCTGCCTTAATTTCCTGAGAAGTAAAATTTCTGTCCAAGCTGGCACGCTGGGCATCACAGCACCTGAAAGGGTGAATGGATTGAATGCAGGCTTTAAAACAGGGAGTTGAGCTAGATGAGCCAAAGAGAGAAGTATAATAATTAACGCAGGCGTCCTTGATGGAGTTGTGGTCAGAAATAATTGTCCCGTCGTCAAGTTTCAACCTCTTAATTCCATTAGAAGCATTATTGATGATCACACTCTTATGGAAAAAACTAGTGTTTTCATCCCCATCAACAATCCACTTAATACCTGACTTTTGGTGTAAGAAAGTTGATTCTGCTTCAGCTAGAACCTGCCAGGACAAATAAGCTTTTCGCTCTCTGCAAGCATTTTCCACAGTAGGAGAAGAAAACATATCCACTTGAGCGGCTTTAAGAGCAGCCATAGCAGCCCTTACTCTGTTTTCAATACCTGAGAAAGCCGATCTGTTGAGCTTTCTTAGCTTGCCTTTCAAGATTTTTAGCTTCCGATTTACCTGCAGCATAGCTGAGCCACTAACATGGGAAGAAAACCAGGACTCTTGAACCACAGTCAGAAAATTTTCATGTTGCATCAAATGATGGTTGAATCTGAAAGGTCTGATTTTCTTTGGCCCCAACTCTTGGAATCTTATACAACAGGAAGCATGATCAGAGAAGAGGGGCTCTTCAAAAGTATAAAGAGCGTTGCTGAAAGAGGCTAGCCAGTTTACATTCCCCATCATCCTGTCAAGTTTCTCAGCGACCGGCGTTGCTTGTTGGTGGTTCCACCAAGTGTAAATCGGGCCGTGAGCTGGTAAGTCCATTAAACCACACGAGTTTAGACAATTCTCGAGCTCTCTAGCCCCACCAGAATATACATCAAAGTCATCCCTTCTAGAGTGTTCTGATGGTAGCAATGTCTGGTTAAAATCGCCAGTTACAAGCCAAGGGGAGTCCCGGAGAGGTGAATTTGAAGCCATATCGCATAGATCATCCCAAAGGTGGACCCGTTCATGCCTTAGGTTTGCTCTATAAACAAAAGAAACAGTGAAATTGATCCCCCTTTCTGGCCAAGAGATCCCACAAGTAATATGCTGACGACTTTTATGATAAACCGTTACTATAACCGCTTTACTAAAAACAACCCAAATTCTCCCAATATGAGAGTGTTCATAATTTGAGTGAAGACTCCAACCCGGCAGAATCCTTTTCAGGACGCTTTGAGCGTTGTGTTCTAAAACATGAGTCTCTAAAAGACATCCAAAAATTGGTCGTTGTTGCTGGCACCAAGTTCTAAATCTCTGCTGCTTATCTGGATCGTTGATCCCTTTTACATTCCAACTAAACATCAGCATTACAAAAAGTGATAGGTGGAGATTTCTAGTGGCGGAAGGAAAACCTTCCCGCAAGAGTAGGACCATTCTTTCGCTTGGCCCTAATCTTTTTCTTCTGACTTTTTGATAAAACCTTGATAAAACCACCATCATCCACGTCAGGTGGTTTTTCCTCATCAGGTGAGACTACGTCCTCCTCTTTTGGGTGAGAGAGCGTTTGGTCATGTGGATCAAGGTTTGTGGCGACAAGGGTAGTAGAAGCAGCCTTTTCTGTCTGCAAATTCCCCAGAACTTCTTTAGCGGGGACTAAATCACTCCTTGGGGCAGATTTGGATGATAAGCCAGGCTGATCCACCACAATTTCATCACATTTTGAAGCTGAGGTGACTTCCACGACTTTCTTAATCCACTGTTTGGAAATGGGTTTAGACTTGCCTTTCTCTGAAGAATCCATGTCCATGGTCTCCTGACTAGGCACAACAACTATCTCTTTCCCTTTTCTCCAAGGGCAAATGGTCTCTGAATGAAAAGCTTTCTTACATGTTAGGCAAAGAGGTGGAGTGTTTGTGCAGTGCTTTGACGAGTGGCCAGCTTCAGCACAAAGAGGACAAACGGGCGGAAGGTGAGGGCAAGACACTGCAACTCTCCTCGTTTCTCCCGATTGAAACTGAGCGTTGACAAATTCTGGCAATGGTTTGTGTAAATCTATTTCAGTGAAGATCTTGGCCACCTCTAAATTTGTCATCTGCTCCGTTTCCTTGTGTAGGTACAATGGGTGTCCCACCAGACTTGCAATACGGCTGAGTGCAAGCGGATTATAGAACTCATACGGGACGTTTCGAAGCTCTACCCACACCGGGGCAGTCTTTAGAGCCGGTTTTGTTGGTTGAACTCCTGGAGTCCATTCGGCCACAAACATAGTAGAGCCATCAATTGACCAAATTCCTTCTTTTAAGACTCTCTGCCTTGCTGAGATATTTGGAATCTTGAAGAGGAATGAGTTTGGCGTGTCGAGCTTCGTGACCGTGATGTCATGATGCCATTTGCTCCAAATTAAGTTCACAATCGCTCGTATCTTGCCAAAAGAGGGAGCTTTGCGATAGAATTGACCCACAACAAAACTTTGCCAAAGAGGTTTGCTGTCCTCAATTACTTTGTTTGGAATTTTCACACAGAGTTCACCAGATTTCAAAAGGAAAGGTGTACCACTTTTCTTTAATGAGCATGAACCGCCATTTGCTCTCTCTGCCCAGGTAAGCGGAGGCGAGATTTCAGCAGAATCTGTCACAATTGGAGTTTTTGTGGAGGGCCCAGCCACTCCCAAGGAAACAGAACGGGAACAGGGAGGAGAAGAAATTGGGCTGAGAGGAGATGCAGGGCTGAGAGAAGAAGCATGGATGAGAAGGGGGGTGGTCAAGGAGGAGGAGGGAAGAGGAGGTTTTCGTTTTTTCTTGGCCATGGCGGAAGAGAGGCGCCGGCGGTGGCCGCCACCAGCTTAGGAGGTCAAGGAAAAGGAGGAAGAAGAGTAAAAAACCTACCTCGATCAAAGGGTTGGCTAAAAAACCAACCCTTTTTAGTTAACGGTCAAGGAGGCAAACTACTTAATGGATGTTGTGAGAAACTGAAAAAATCAACATCATGTATGTGTAGGTTCCTTACGGCCAAGGAACGAAACTTAGGATCAGCTGCTCATAGAATGCTTTGGTGGTGTAAAATTGATGTCCCCAAATGTCCCAAAGTCTAGAGATTATATAGGTTTATATATATTGTTCCTCCTCAAGCCATATATAATTACTAGAAGTAGACCCGCGCGATGTGCGAGATAAATTTGATATTATATTTATAATAATTTTAATATATTTTAAGTAATATATAATTTTAATAATTTTAAATTTGATAGATTGAAGCAATTAAGTAATTCTTTTTATTTTATGCACTATCTCATAGAATATTTATTTGATGTTTCCAAATTTTAATATAAAACTAAGTGTATATGTTTTATAATTATTTTGTATTAGGCAGATTGCTATCTACTGCATAAATAATTTAGAATACATTATAAATAATAATTTTTTACAGAGAAAAAAAAAACAAAAAGTTAAATAATTTTTTAATTTGTATTCAACAAATTCCATCATCAATTAAAATAAGCATTAGAATAATTTTTTATTCAACTACATTAGAATACTAAGAGTAAGATTTATAGTCTTAGATCACTACAGACAACTCTTTGAAATTGTAATCTATACAAATCTACTATAGGTTTTTCCCTATGTCATATTCTTTTTTTGTTTTCAAAAAAATCATTACTTATGAAATGTTGATTATTTTTTCCTTCGATCTCTCAAAAAATCATATCTTCTAATATTTCATATAAGATAATATTATATAATGACACATCAATATTTTTTTTTTTTTTGTCAACTACCTTATATTAATCCAGAGCATCAAAATAGCCTAATATTAATTACATATACAATTAAAAAAACTAAACAATATGTATTCTTAAAAATAGGTTATGTTAATTAAAAAGAAAAGTCAGATATAATTTATCATAGCCGCATTGCTCTCTACCACGATTCCCGAGAAAAAAATAATATATTCTAATTTAAATGAAATATTAAAATAATGTAACAATAACATAATAGGAATTTATACATAAATAAATTATAGGAAAATAATAAAAATAATAAAAAATAAAAGTTTAGAGAAGAAATGGAAAATATGAAAATTTGAAAGAAGATATATTAAGTTAGTACCAGGTAAGTTCTCTAATTTATTTACCAAAGTGTTGATTTCTTTGTATGTTTGGATACAAAAATAGTGATCAATGTAAAGTTCATCTATTGTATTATGATTGTATAAGAAGATTTTAAAGTTATGGTTAGTTAGCCGGTAGGAGTTAGAATATTTTGTTTTAAGGAAAATCTGAAGGACCAAATGTTTTTAACAACGTTTTTTTGTTTTCAAAAAATACTTAGCCCTCATTAAAATTTCAACGATATTTATATAATAATTTAGTAGATCACAAAAAATAATTATAATGATACATAATATTAAAATAAATTACAAATAATTATTTTGATACGAAAGAGGTAAGAAAATATTATTTGGAAAATGTGTTACGATAAAATATTTATTTAGAAATTTCATAATTAAAAAAGAAAAATGCATATATATGTAAGAAACTATGCGAACATCAAAAATATATAACAAAATGAATCTTTTTAACTTAATTCTCTTGTTACGATGATTGCAAATAATATTTTTAAATCAAAATTTTTATTTTTATAGACTCCAAAATCATTTATTTTACACATGTGTTGTTTCATACTTTCTTAATTAATAAGTATGATTAGATTAAAAATATGTTAGATTTGTATCATACTTTCTAAAATAATTATATCAAATTCTTAAATGATCATTTCCTTGTTTTTTATGCCATATAACAACATAAAAATAGAAAAAAATTAAAAATAGATGAATATAATGGAATAGGGTGAGGGAATGATTACTTATTTGATGATAATCTAAAATATAAAATAGAGATGATGTATATCATATAGTATCTTTTTTTTTTTACAATTGAGCTTTTATAAAAGAATATTTTATTTGTTTTCTAAAACTCATACCAAGAAAAAAAACACAAAGCTTTTTTTATATAATAATTGAGATAGAGAATTAGAGGATGAGAGAATGAGGGAATGATAACTGAGAAGAGAAAATGAGTATATATAGGAAGAGAAGTGATGGGAGTTACAATTTCATAACAAAATTATGAGAATCAATTATAATTTATTGTGTGCTGAAAACTTCAATGTAAAATATAATTAATGCAAATTTATATTATTTCAGTTTTTATATTAAAGTGTGAGTTTAATGTATATGACTAAATGTGTTTTCTGGTTTAATTGTTTTTTCAATTTTATATTAAATTGTGAATATATATATATATATATATATATATGCCAAGTGAACCAGTAAGAAGAGAGTGAAACTTTATTTATATATATATGATTTGGAATAATATGATAATTATTCTTTGATTAAAGGGGGAATTTCAAAAATACCCATTTTCATATACCTCTTTTTAAAAATACCTCCTTTTCAAACTTTATAAAAAAAACCACTAAAAATATTGAAATTTATCCAGATATGTGTGTAAGCTTATAAATATATACATAAATTACCTTTATATGTGTATAAAAATTTATATACCTTTCATAAATAGCGTAAAAATAAATTATAAAAACCATATAAAAACCTTATAAAAACTGTATAAACCCTTTTAAAAACCTTTTAAAAACATTATAAAACTTATAAAAACGATTTAAAACTATTTAAAATATTTTTAAATATTTATATCGAATCTCCCAGTAGTAGTTATTATATAGAAGTACCTTATAAACTATATAAAACTTTATAATTTTTTTTATTTAAATAGGGGTATTTTTGAAAATGGATAGATAAATGGGGTATTTTTAAAAAGGGGTACACCTAAAGGGGTATTTCTCAAAAATTCTCAACAAATTTCATGATATCTTATATTCTATTAGATTGTGTTTCTTCTCTCAACTGTTTAACAAAAGTAAATTAAATAAATTTTGTTTTCTAAATTAAATAATAAATTTTTTTTGGTTAAATAGTAACTGTATCTAAATATTTTAGACGTACTAATTTATTATACTGAAAAACAATTAAACTTTCTCTAATTTCATTATGGGTCATTATTTACCATAGATTTCACCATGTTAAAGTAAAAAAAAAAAACAATTCCCTCTAATTATGTTATTATAAACTTATTATATAAATATGTTATAAATAATTTATTACCCATATTAATAACTTTAGGAAAAATACATTAAAAGGAGGAGGAAATTTTGATGTGATTTTTGAAATTTAAATCTTAAGGGTTTTTGAAATTTAAATCTTAAGGAAAAAAACTCATACCAATTTTCTTTGAATACAAAGAAAAAAAAATATAACTACTCTATTTTATGTTTAGTTTATATGATATTTAATTTAAATAGAAACTAAAATTAGGTAAAAAAATTTTTTGCAACAATGACACTTTTTAAAAAAGCAAACAATACATATCTTATAACTTATAACACAATATCACAAATAAAATAATTTTTAAATATTAAATTAGAAATTAATAAAAATGACACATGTCAAGAATATAGAGCGTCAAGTGTCGATTTGTGAGGCAAAGTTAGAAGAAACCTTGTTTTATTATATAAGATGATAATTTTTGTTAACTGAAGCTCGACGACATGTTTGCATAATTGCATGAGACGCATAAGCCGAGAATAATCATATTTAACCGGAAAAATTCCCAATTACATTTTACTTCATCTTATATATACATAGAAATCGTAATTAAACAAAACATTATGATCTCCAATTCGAGCTAAGAGATCATGGATTACCGAGTATTTTTTTCGCGAAATGTTGAAAGGAAAAAAATGAATCCGTAAGAAGTTCTTCGACCATTACAAATTTACAATCCCTTCTATTTTTCACAAAAACATAATGAAACAAAAATTGTATTAAAATTTGGATAAAATGTGACGACCTATATATGACAAAAGTGTGTTTCTAAATTGGCAAGTGAACACGACATCGTTTTGAGGTCCGATCTCAGATGGTCGTTCTTCATAAACAGCGGTGAATAAAATCATAAAATAAAAGAGAAACACGTCAAAAAGACATAACAACACCTTTGTCTTCTTGCTTTCTTCGCCCTTACTTCAACTCACGAAGATCATCAATTCGAGACTAATCTCAATCAAAACACCATCATGATGACGACAAGTATTAGACTTCTCTTCCTCGCTTTCCTTCTCCTTGCATCACCTTTCCTCAAAGGTAACACCTTTCTCTGCTTCTCCATAGTTATAGATCATTTGCTTAGTCTACTCTGTTTCTTGTTACCGTTTCTGCGCTGCGCAAGTATATTTTAAGGTTGCTCACATGATCTTTCTTCATAGTTGCTTTGTGCCAATCGGATTCGGAAGATAAAGATTCTGGCTTTGAAGTTTCTGATGTTGGTGAAGAAGAGAGTGATGCAGAGGAAGTGTTTGGCTTGGAACTTAGCTCAGCTCCTGGAGTTGAAACCCTTTGCGTTTTCCCCAAAAACAGTGCAAAAAGTTCAGATTTTTCCTCTCTTTTTTTTTTAGCTATAGTTTCTTAAATTAGTGTTCTTTCTCAATCTTGTTTGTGTGTGTTCTGCTAATCCTGTCTTGTCTGATTTTTATTTTAGTAATAAAAGCTGGAATTGAGACTGAGCTGCTTGTGGGGATGAAAAATGATGGTAAAGATATGATTCTGTTTCAGTGAAATTGTTACCTTGAAACTTAGCTATAAAGTTTCTAACTTTTTTGTGTTGGTTCATATCATATGAATAGGTCAATCCAATGTAGATATTGTTGCGGTTAAAGGGAGTTTACATCTTCCTTTTGATCAACATGCAGTTCAGAATCTCACTGCTTTGGTAATTAATGATCTTTGCTTCCTTTACATTTATTGCTTGTGTTCTCATGTGCCAATTTTGTATTTCCAAACCAGTCTTAGTTTGTTTGCCTTTATTATTTTATTGCCTATCTGTGTCTCATCTCATGTCAGTCCACAATCTACTATACCTTAAACAACATTCCCATTGTATTACAACTTATGGGTCTTGATCTTTCATGATTGTATTTGTTTAAGTCTATCATAGTGTTATAACTAACTTCTGCTCTTGTTGTTTCCCTGTTGTTCTCTAGCTTTTAATCATGCCTATCAGTCTTAGTTTGGTGTTGTTAGGTTATTTTATTGCCTGTTTTTGTGTCATCTCATGAGTCATGTCTCTCCCACACTCTGCACCAAAAACATTTGCCATTCGAATCCATTTTTGTGTTTTGTTTTCGAATCATCGTTTTCAATTCCGATTGCAATATTATAACTTACACGTTACAACTAGGTGTTTTATTTTCTCTCTTTCTTTGGTTTGGTTTTGTAACAATATATAAACTTATTTCTTCTCTGTTTCAGAATTCAAGAAAGCCTTTCTCTAGCCTTTAATCATGTTCATCTATCTTTTCAACATTGATACTGTCTTTGGTCGTCTCTCTAGCGACGTAGCTTTTATGAACACAGAGAATTTCTCCTCTTTACCTGTCCTGCAATTTAAGTTTACTACTTATAATATGGTGATTTCGTCATATCTTCTATTTGTAGAGTTTCAGCAACGCATCTGTGCCAACGTCAGCTCAAGCTACCTTCCAATATGTTTTTGCTGTCAGCAAGTTCCTGCAAGTATGTTTCTTCTAGTCTCCAAAATGACTAAAAAATAAAGAAAAGAATTCGAGCTAACCATTACTTTGTACAGGTTGGTGCTTTTGATTTAGTTGGCACTATCATCTATGAGATAGATGGTAAGCCATACAAAAGCACCTTTTACAATGGAACTATTGAAGTTGTTGAAGACGGTCCTCTCTTCAGGATGGAGTCAGTCTTCCTTAGTGGTCTTTTAGTTTCTGTTATCGTTCTTCTTGCCCTCTATATCCAAAATGCTTTGAAGCATATGACCAAGGTACGTACGTACATCCCATTTCGATATCTCATCGCACTTTCCACTCCATGTGTCATTTTCTCTTGAAAGGTCAAAACACTACATTTCCAAAACTCTGGTTCTAACTGTGAGTATGGTTTATTGTGAATTCCTCGCGCAGAAAACAAAAAGAGCACCAAAAGTTGAAGTTGGAACAGCAACTAAAGATGCTTCGCGTGATGAATGGCTTGAGGTTAGTCATCAATCATCATCACACAAGAACCTAATAACTTTCCCATAATGTGTTATGCTTTATTGAGGATTTTGGTGTTGATACTTTGCTCTCGATTGATCGCGTACTGCAGGGTACCGCGTACACTCAATCTTCGAGTAAGTCAAAGAAGAAGAAATAGAGACTAAGAGCAAATCTCACACACTTGGTTCACCAAAAACACACGAACAATACTAAGTACTAACGTTGCAGTTGTTGGTAGAGATCTTCTTTCCTTATATATCTTTTTACATGAATGTCGTACGTTTTTTTTATTTTACTTCTAAAATATATCGAACACATAAAGTTTTTGGTTAGATATTTGGATCGTCTAGTTACAATTCAGAGGAGACATTTAATCATTGTGCTGTATCAGAGAAATTTTGTTAGATTACGAAAATATATTTTTTTCAAGTAAGAAACTTTTAGACGATGTATACAAAATTTAGAGCATAATAGTAGTCCAAGCCTAAGGTGAACCTTATCGATTATACAAAAGAATTGGGCTATATACGGGAGAAAGGAGCTATTTTTCCCTCATAACTATTGTATCGATCTAGACAGAGCTCAAACATTGATTCCAATTCATATGTCTCCAAAACCAAAGAAAACAAATTTTCTGCTGCCGGACTTTGAACCCGGAAATTTACTGTTCCAGTATGTTTTACCATAGTGCTACAACGGAACTTATGGTACATATATACATATATATAACAAATTAGAGATACATGTTAAAGTCTTTTTAGGTTTGATTACAGAAGTTGTAGAAGATGAAACTGGATCAGCGTTCGCACAAAAACATATTTGATTCCAATTCATATGTCTCCAAAAACAAAGTTCTAAACCTATTTGTTCGAAATCAAAACTTAAAAATTTCTATTTGTTAAAAACCAAAAAAAAAAACAAATTTTCCGTTGCCGGGCTTTGAACCCGGAAATTTACTGTTCTAGTAAGTTTAACCATAGTGCTACAACGGAACTTATGTTAACTACGGTACATATATATAACAAATTGGAGATACATGTTAAAAGACTTTTTTTATTTTTTATTACAAAAATTGTAAAAGATGAAACTGGATCAGCGTTGGCACAAAAGGTTACCTTATACCACAAAACGGGCTTCACTATTCTTGATCCAAAGGCCCATAAATAATTAAGCGACATCGTTGTCCAGTCAATATTCTATCCAGTAAAAAAAGTAGGAAACAAACACACAATATTCTCTGCCTCGGATCCACGCAACTTTTAACCCTAGTTAGATTCAACACCTAACCACAGTTAACACAAACACACTTAATCTCCTTACACGTGTCCAAATCAACGGTCACAAACATCTTTCCTTTTCACTACCCTTCCTCTATATAAAACATCACAAAAACCCTAATCTCTCACAAACACAACACAAACTCACAAAAACACAAACCTTTCTTCTTCGTCTTCTCCGATCAAAACCATGGCGAACCCTAAAGTTTTCTTCGACATGACCGTCGGTGGGCAATCAGCTGGTCGGATCGTGATGGAGCTTTTCGCAGACACGACACCAGAAACCGCCGAGAATTTCAGAGCACTCTGTACCGGAGAGAGAGGAATGGGCAAATCAGGCAAGCCTTTGCACTACAAAGGATCGAGCTTTCACCGTGTGATCCCCAAATTCATGTGCCAAGGTGGAGACTTTACCGCCGGGAACGGGACCGGAGGGGAATCAATCTACGGGATGAAGTTCAAAGACGAGAACTTTATCAAGAAACACACCGGACCAGGTATCTTGTCAATGGCCAACGCTGGTCCGAACACGAACGGATCTCAGTTTTTTATCTGTACTGAGAAGACTTCGTGGCTCGATGGGAAACATGTTGTGTTTGGTCAAGTTGTTGAAGGTTTGAATGTTGTTAGAGATATTGAGAAGGTTGGATCTGATTCTGGAAGGACCTCTAAGGCTGTTGTCATTGCTGATTGTGGTCAGATTTCTTAGATCTGAAGGATGATGATGATGGTGATGGTGATGAGTATTACAATGGTAGCTTTGTGTTGTTTCTTTTGATGTTTTTTTCTGGTTTCTGTTTCTTGGATTCTGTTGTCTTTGCTTCTCAGTTTGGCTACCATTGAATAATAATGAGAATAAATCTTCTAGGATTATTATTGCTTCTTGTACAATTACAATCTTATGCATCAAAGAATCATCAAGGTTTCACATATAAAACAGATCAGTCAAGACTGGTTTTGTGAGTTATGTGCATCTTTAGAAAATTAGAATTGTCAAAGCTTTCATATATTTGAGAAGTAGACTTAGTTCTTATTGGATAGGGCAAAGTATTGGACTATACGACAAAAGTTAATAGATTTTTTATGAAGTAGAAAATGAAATGGATGTGATTGGTCGGACTTTTAGGTATCAAGGAGCGTGGAAAATGGTGAAAGTTTTTACTTAGATATTTCTTTTTTCATTATCGCTCAAATGAGTCTTTTTTGCTATGTGGTTATGTTTTGCACACGAGGAAGAGAGTGAAACGAGAACCCAAAATATGAGTTTTGTTAATGACGGCCCATTATACAATTCTGTACACTATTTGAACGATAATGACGGCCCATTATACAATATTTTAAGGGCCGAATGCATTGCTACAAGGTGGGGTGTGAATTCAAAAACAAAAACCAAATTGTATCATATAATATGGTTTAAAACTTTAAATCGATTCATCTTTTCTATATCCCAAAAATCAAATTCGAATCCAAACAAAATTGGAAAGAACAAATCAATAGGAACCGAAACCGAAACCACATATTTTTTAAAAAAGATTAATTGCTAATCGAATGGTGAATCCGAACATTGTTCGTGGAAAACTTTTCGTGATTTGCTTCATATATACAATATTATAAAAAATATAAACCCATATCGTCAAACCGAAACCAAATAAAATCATGTATAATAATATTCTTTTCGGTTTTTATACTGTGTCTTTTTATACTCTCTCTATTTAAAATAACCGTATATCTATTTGTTTTTCGATTGGTTGAATTATTTTTAAGTAGGTAAAATATGAACGAATGAGAATTAGTATATTGTATTTTCTTGATCTGATTAACTTATGATACCAACAGGCACCAATACTTGGTTATTTACCATCATGGAAGAAGTCTTGATGTGAAATTAATAACATTTCGAAATAAACATCTTTTGTTTCCTAACCAGAGATGATACACATTGCATGACATCCCTACATTGCAAGATCTTTCTTCTTATATCAAGAAAATAGCCAAAAAATCTCCAAGAAAATTGCAAGGAACAGTGAACAATGTTTTAAAATACTTGTAAAAATACGTGCGGGTAGGGTCGTGTAATTGTGTTTTTTTTTAGTTTTCTTCTTCACTTTCTTTATTCACACTTCACGTGTCCTGTGTGGAACTGTGTTCACACATTAGTTAACACACAGCTTGGAAAAGGGTTTTGGACACAACCATATTCTCATACAAAGTCTTGAACGTATTGATTGCTTTAGAGCCAACACAACACCTTCGAGAAAAGAAACCAATAAAAAAGAAAAGAAACAACAAATATTTATTGCTCAGCACAGAAAGGTTAGGGAGATCATTAAGAGTCCATTTACAACATTTGGAGGCTGGAACATTAATATTCTTGACTCGTACGTATAGTCTCTCATGTTCTCATAGTTCATACACATAAACAGTTTCTTTTATAAATGTCTTTGTCAACAACCTCAATTAATACTTAGCAGTTGAAGGTTGGAGAAGAACCTTTTTATTTACTCTTTTGTTTTTTTTTGTTTATCTTCTGCCTTTTAAAGACTACTACACCATAACTACACATTTCTCTTCTTATTCTTTATTGCTTATAGCTTCTGAGCACCAATGGATCCATATCATAATAATCTCCTCTTTGTGTACTTTCTCCTTCTTTGCTTAGCCGCGAATGAAATAGCTGGATATGCAACGGTCACTGGCTCGGTGTTTTGTGACCAATGCAAGGATGGAGAGAGATCTTTGTTTGATTTTCCTGTCTCTGGTAATCATAATAATAATTAACATGTCTACATTGGTGTGTAGCTCTGCTTTGTGTTTCCTTTAAGATGTGTATGCTAATATGTTGCAGGGGTCAAGGTTAGTGTCACATGTTCTGATGGGAATGGACAGGTTTATATGTCAAGAGAAGAGACTACTAATTGGCTTGGAGGTTATGTGATGAGATTTGATGGGACACCGGATCTGAGTAACTGTTATGCTCAGGTTTCAAACAATGGAGCTCAACAAGACCCAAATAGTTGCAGCATTGCTTCTGGTCCTGCTCAGAAACTTAAACTATTGTTCAGCTTTTTTGGGATTGAAACGTTTGCTACGGATGCACTTCTTGCTCAGCCACTACAGCCCAGGTCATTTTGTCCTAAACCACCCGCAGCTCCGGTCATGCCTCCTCCTCAAGTCCCGGTCATGCCTCCTCCTCAGGTGCCGGTAAAGCCTCCTCAGGTCCCGGTCGTAAGTCCTCCTCCACCTACATTGCCTCCTCCTCAGATCCCAGTCATAAGTCTTCCTCCAGTTACATCACCTCCTCAGTTTAAGCTTCCACCTTTGCCTCCAATCCCTCCAATACCATTTGTAGAGCCATCAGCTTGTTCTCACCAGTGAGCTTTCTCTCTAATCCATTCACAGGCCTGGACTTTCAGTTTTTCGGTTATTTTTCGGTTCTTGAGTGAGCTTTCTAATTTATTCTTTAGGTCGAGTACTAAATTTGGTTTTATTTTCATGTATCAAAATGTTAATAAGAACCTATCTAAAGAGTTTTTTTTGGTTTGATGTTGTTTTTATGGCCACCTCTGTTTCAAATAATGTCATAACAATTTGGCTTTGTGATATATATATAGGTTATGGATGAAGCCTGAGTACAGATGCTACTGGAGAGCAATAGGCCCAGACACAAAGGTCGCGGTTGCATTCGGGCTAATAGCCGGAAGGAGATACGGCACTGATATGACGGTAAGGGAAGCGCTTGACGGTCGAGGAGAAGCCTATAAGACACTCCTAAGAGAGGCAACAACTGCATTACTCAATTCATACAACTCTCTTGGGTTTCCTTACAATACCATCTCTGTAATCACACATACCAATTTGGCTCTCCTCGGGAACTCGCAGCATGATGTTCTCATGACCGCTATTCATTTCATGAAGGCTAATTCCGGGACCTGCAAATTCACAGTCTGCAATTGATTGTGTGTTTTTCTTACTTACATAGTCTACACTCTCTTCTTCTTCTTTGTTCATTGTTCTTGGGTACTTATGTAATACTATAAAAGTCTATACTTGAATTCATTGGAGAATTTATGGACCACTATTATAGTCCCTACATCTAACGTTTTGGGAACTGTGGGAAACAGAATTATCTGATGCACCATTTACTGAAGAGGGACTAAACCAGAGAGGAACATGAACAAAAATAGATATGCTTCATTCATAATAGAGATCACAAAGTTTTAGAAATAGAAATAAAACAACCACTGAGCTAGTATATATCAGACAGGGAACGTGTTATGTTCTGGCTATTTTAAGACACATGATTTCCTCCAGCGATTGGTCTCTTGCTAGCAAACAACACCTGCTCAAAACCAAAGCACACCAACATCAGCAAAAAGATACAAAAACCATTACGAAAAAAAACAAAAAGAGACCAAAATCAGCAAACAAAGCAAGACATAGATCAAAGATATCAGGTTTTGTACCTTTTCAACTCACTCTAACGTGTTCTTGTGACTAATCATTTCCTAATGATCCATTGCAAAGGGATAGAAGTGAAATCAGCCTAAATATTCTTCATCATTGTCCATATTGCGTTTGCGGGGAATAATAATAACTAAGTAGCTTTTTGAAGAGAGGAACAATTGCAACCATAGCAAGTTGGAGCTGCTCAGAGCTGTTTACACGGACACTCACTTGCCCTGCTCCTCTATTATTCAGATTAGCACGAGCAATCAAATTAGAGGAACGTCCAATGGGAACCTGAGACTGTATGTTCCCTCCTATAGCAAGATCACCGTGCCAATCCATAACAGAAAGTCCAAGAGTAGTCAAAAACCGACCAAGCGGATAATCTTTATCTCTAAACTGAGCTTCTAAACTACCACCATAAGCCACATCTCCCCGACTAGTCATTGCTCCACCAGACATAACCATTCTGAACCATTTATTAGCAATCAACTTATCTTCAACTTTCATCCCCGCAGAAACCGAATCACCCAAGAGCGTTACAGAGACAGCAGCTGCAGCTTTGTTTCTCCTGAAATTGTTGAATCTTGTTTCACTTCGAAGAGTGTAAGCCAATTCCTTTCCAACAGTCTGCATGTCAAAACCCAGGGAAGTTGATTTACCCTCTCCATGTTTAAGCGAGCTGGCCATTTCCAACTGCACATTTGCATCCTTCTTGTCTTTTGTAACTTGGCCTGAGAAAGATATTGGTATTTTTTCATTTACAACGAAGAGTCGTTCTGCATTCACACCTTCATAACCAATATCATGATCCCACCCATGAGTTTCCAAGACTGGCCTAACAAGCCACTGATTGGAGGAATCAAGGTACCGGTAGCGGTGAGTCGGGTTATCAGAATCAAAAGACGCAGGTAGAGATAAATCTGGCATAGGAACTGGAACTGATGCAGGTCCACCGCTCTCCTCTTCCACATTTTCATTATACCCATCTGGCAAATCTTTAATCTCTGCAGCAAATTTCTTAAACATCTTACGTCTCTTTCTTTCCTCTTTCATTTGCTTCTTCATTAATAGTTTCTCCCGGTACTCCATTTCATCAAGATACTGCTTCTTCTGAGATTTACTAAGTGTAGCCATTTGAGCTTTAGTCAAACTTTTAAAGGGAGGAAGCTGGTCATACTCTGATTCTTCGTCTGAACCTGATGATTCATCTAAATCATCTTCATCTTCTTCATCACCATACTGCTGTTCAGGAAGCTTGGGTTGTGGTCTTGATTGCAAAAGTGATGAAAGGAGAAATGGTAATGGTGGAGCCTTGGACCGAGCTACGAATGGTCTCCCGGGAATATTATCTTGTAATTTCAAAAGAGCATTAGCTTCTGCTAGAATCTTGGATGCAAATGAGAGTAACAGTAAATGAGGCTTCCACACTTGGCCATTCGGTAACACTCTCTGGCCTGCCCGATTAGTCCTGCAAGCAGAGTGATTCTCAACTAAAGAAACAGGGTTCATGAGCCTCATATCTCCGGCTGCTTGGCGAATGGCCTGCTGGATGACATGAGAACGTTGTGTTACAAACATGTCATAGCTAGAAGCAGTGCCATTTGGGCCATCTGGTGGAACAGAAGCGGCATGAGTCAAACCCACAATGGCATTAAACCATATTGATGGACCGAAAACATCACTGATGGTGCGCAGAAGAGGCATGTCACCAGAATCTCTGCTTTGCATATCCAACCTATCAAGATATAGTACAATGTCAGGTGGATTCTTCTTGATGAAAGCCTTAACAGAATTCAGGATCTTTTCGTTCTTGGCTTGATCAGACCAGGAAGGTAAGAGACCGGGAGTGTCAATCACCCGTACCTTAATTCCCTGAACAAAACCCTCAACATCTTGAACCCTCTTTGTCCCCATCTGGAATGCATCAGTACAAAATTTCACTTCATCAAATATAGAGTTGATTGTTGCACTTTTACCAACTCCACTTTTACCAAGCACCATAATTGTACAAGAAAAATCAAGTGGATCCTGTCCAGCTGACTCAAGCTGTTCTGCCATGGCACTGGCTCGATCAAAACTAAAAGCACCAACACGACTTCCATTTCTGCCCCTCAACTGCTCAGCCAATCCAAGCCTGTATAAAACCTGAGCAACTACAACATTATGCGGGGTTTGCCCTAGCCTATGAGCAAGCCTCAAAAATTTTACCCTGATCAACTGGAGCTTCTCACGGGTCTCATCGTGCTCATCAGCCTCTGCAGTGGTAGAGTCCTCAGTTTGCTGAGACTGGTTGTGCGACACATTTCCATTGACACGAGACTGTTGAGGAGCACGTGGTGCAGGTTCCAAAAGAGGAGAAGCACGGCCAAGACCTGCTGGACGAGCAGGTGGTGAAGCTGCAGGATTACTTGTAGACTCTGTTGGTGAAACAGAACTTACTACCTCAGGTTCTCTATCCACATGTGCGTTTTCCTTAATTTCTGGATCTAAATTTTCCCTGCTGCTTTGCTGCTTCTCAAGTTCCTTATTAGGTTGAGGACTCTGTTGAACATCATGTCCTACTTTAGCATTTTGAACTGCCTCCTGTTCTCTAAAAGGTACCCCAAGGGAGCTACTATCACTGCGAACTTCCGTAGACTCAAGATGTGAGTTTGGAGAAGAAACCAAGTGTGGCTCTGGTTTCAAACAAGTATTGTCCTCTTCGGTCTCTCCCTTTTCCCTGGAACTAGATTCATCCAACGGAGATGAAGTCTCAGCATTTGCTACTCCGATACTATTATTCACAGATTTGTCACCTGAAGCATTTTCAACAATTTTACTAGTGTAGTCACCACCGGTCTCACCACTATTTTTTGCCTCATTCTCATTCTCTATACATACTGAACCCTTCTCAACACTATTCTTATCTGTTCCTTCATCTCCCTCAACCTCTTGTTCTGTCCGTACGCCATCAACTCTTTCCTCCCAATTATCTACTTCAATGCCATCATCCCAGGGTTCCTCATGCCCAACAGTTTTTAAGACAACTTCAGCCACTACTTCTTTATTCTTAGAAGAGGTAATTCCATTTTCCGATAAGGAATGAGTCTTTCCGTTTTCAATATTCACACCCTCAGACACTAAATTGGAACCATTGGAATGAACCTTCTCAGTATTCTCAACAACATCCAAGCTCGAGTCAATTCGACCATAAGAATTTTCCGCACCAGCTTCCCCATCATCACCATTCATTTTAGGAATCACAGAATCAAATTCAGCATCTACATGCCTCTCTCCAACAACAGAATAACCAACCTTCAAATCTTTCACTCCTCCTTCATTGCTACTTGTTTCATCTAGATCCCCATCTGCCTCTTCAAAATCCTCCACTTCATGGTCATCCTTTAAAGCTGAATCCTTTTGCAACTCATTGGGTTCAAACGATTCACCCTTTCCACCCTCCTCCTGATCATCATCCTCTGAACCAATAGCTTCCTCAAAAACCTCATCTTCGTTATCATCCCTAGTTTCATCAGATCCCACCAACTCATTCTTCACTACTTGCTCATCCTCACTAAGATTTATACTCTCTTCCTTATCTGACCTAACCACAACCTCAGTCCCATTTCCCATCTTCTAGATCACCCGCCGCTACAAAAAAAAAAAAGAACACCAAAAAAAATTTCAAATCAGAAATCACGAATTCACTTCATTATCCAACAACCAAAAAAAAAAACAAATTGAGCACATAGCTAGAAAAACCCTAGATCAGAGTTATCGCAACAAATCATAGAATCCTCGTCGCTTACCAATTCCAGACACTAAAAATTCAATTGAAGTGAATCAAATCGCTTAAACACAAGAATATTTAGTGATAAGAATCTCCAAACACACAAAGAAGAACTAGTTGATTGTAGAAACCCAAATAACTAAACCCAAGAAGAAGGAAGAAGAAGAAGAAGAATAGAAATGGCGAAAAAGCTTACCAGGTTCGTTAGAGAGAGAGAGAGAAATAGAGAGAAGGTGAAAAGTGTGAAGATCCTTCATGCGCTTTACCGGCTGCGAGCCCCTGCGACTACGACGGGGAAGGAGATAAGAGACGTTCATTAACGGTCCAGATCCTTTTGGGTTTAAGCATCGTACGGTGGATAATTGCTCGTTGATGCAATCGTGAAATGGTGCTGACGTGTACTTCAAAAAGTAGAGTGAAGAAGCAGAAATTGGAATAGAAAACCCTCGTGTGTCAATTCGATTTAACCAACCCGGTCCGATTCAATTCGGTTCGGTTTGGTTCGGTTTGTCCCGGTCTTGATAATCAGATTCACAATGATTAAACCAATATACTTGTTCTTTCTAATGAGCATAGTATAGTCTCTATCATAGAAGTATAGAACCAATGATGTGTTTGTGTTAATCATCAAAGGACAAAAAAATAAAACTCATAACCAAAAACAAACGATCTTGTTTTGTAATGTAAGCTGTAAGAATCTTCCAATATCAAGAAGTTGCAAGCTTTCCATTAATCATAGGTACATCCAAAACACTCTCTCTTCTAATGCACATCCAAGTTCTTGAAGACTCTTCACTGTTTTCGCATGAAACCGGGACATGCCATGACCCTTTCTCTGATTCCTGCTTTGTCGAATAGAGATAAATTTAGAGACTATCCATTTCGTAAAACCGAGGAAAGAAAAGTGACTGAGATGGTAAACAAACCTGCATGACAACCGAAAAAGGCGACGGCATTTCAAGCTTCAGCTTACCTTTTGTAAAAGTATAATGGACCTGAACCAAAAAAACCATAGAACCAAAAGCTTATTGTAGATTTCTTAAAATCACACTTGTACTATAAAAGAGTTACATGTTATGAGTTGATAACTCTACCTGATGTCTTTCTTTCCACTTTTGAAAAAAACTGCTCCCTAAGAGTGCAAAAATGTGGTCTCTCATCTCATCATTTGTCACAAGCAAACACTTGAGCTTAGCAGCAGCATACAACCAATACCTGGAATGGTAAAAAGCGCAAAGATGAGTGTGGTAACCAAACATTGTTTCTTTTTGTAGCCTAATGGTATGTAGGAGAAGCTAAATTTTCATACCAATCATCATTGGAACCTGGTGGAGTAGCGTATAAGACACCGTTACTAATCCATTCTTCAACCAGATTCCGGTGGGTTGGGTTTTCTAAAAGCGTCCTGACCCGTCTCTTGTGCAATAGAATTAGGGGCCATTTGTTGTTACCACTTTTATGGTAAAGTTCCTTCACCACAGATTCAAGCTGCACTATCGCACATGTACGTTGTCAGTGATTGCAGAAATGGATTAAATAGTATAGAGGAAGAAAAACAAGAGAGGCTCTAGATGAGAGAACCTGTGGAAGACTGAAACCGCCATCTGCAAAATTTTGTTGGTAGAGCCCAATATTTGCTCCATCTACTATAGCTTCATAATCTCCATGTTTCTCAAGCCAGTCCTGGCAAATTTGTGATGAAAGTGAATAAAAGAAGAGGTTGAACTCTCCCTTGCAGCAAAAACTCCAAGCACTATACGTATCTCTAAATGCATATCAAAGTTAACTAAATAACATAAGCTTACATTCTCTACAATTACTATCTCATGCAATTCTTAATGTCCCAAGGCCAAAAGTATTAGAAGCAAGCTAAGAGAATCAACTTTAATATGCAATTCTTTCTCTAACCTGAAACTCGCTGAACACCACCTTTGCCTCGCATGAATTCAACTTAGCCTTCCTCTCCATAGCCAAAGCCACCAAAGAATCGACAAATTTCTGTGTTTCTACCTCATTGGTATCCACACATGCCAACTGCTCACTGCAAGTCAAACATCTTCCGGTTGAGCTAACATTACCTTTCTTTACAATCCATTTACCCTCCCCAACCCACCCATGACCGTGCCACCCACCTCCATTCTTCAAAACAGCTTCTCTACGCAGCCTGACATCAGAACCAATTCCATTATCACTAATCTCACCAGCTTTTTCTCCATAGAACCATTCCTCGATAATTTTCGATGTTTCTTCACAAATGCAGCCAACATATTCCCTTAACTTATGCAAATATTGATAAACCTTGTTTTCTTGGCCTGTGGCGGCGCTTACCTTCAACAAAGCCGAGATCTCTGCCTCCTCCAATGCAATGCCTGCAGCATCCATGTGCTCTTGCACCTCATAACCCTTTTCAGCCTCCAATCTCTCGCAGAAACAGAGCAAAGCCGGCGCATAGGTTCTCAGACGGGGAATGGATACACCGCCAACAGAAACAAAGTCCTTGACAACCTTGAAAGCATAATCACCATCACCCTTAGCAGCAGCCAGCCGAGCTACTGAAGTTATGGATGCCTCATTAGGAATTATCCCAAAGCTAACCATACAGTCAAAAATCTGGAAGCCACGGTCAATGGCAAGGTTTTGAAGAGATGTGTCACTAATGCAAGCCGAGCATAGGTAAAGAAGGGTCTGAAAATGTTGCTGGTTGAGGCGTACTTCACCGGATGTGACTGCTGCATCATAAAGAGCTAATGCAGCTGAAAGGTCCTTGGACTTGGAGCATGAATTGAGATCGAAGAGGAGATTTGCTTCTGGGTTTCGGCTTACCTTCTTCTTCTTGTTGGGTTTTGAAGTGCTTTCGTCGTGGTGAAGAGAGCGGCGTTGATCAGAAGCAGCCATGTAAATAGTATATACCACAAAGTTACAAGCTTTGCATTGGCAGAAAGTGGAAGATGAAACCTAACCCTGACAAGAAAAAAAAACACAAATTTAAGTTAGCTTAAACAAACCAATTAACACCATTTCTACAAAGATTAACACTAGAGAAAACTAGAAGAAACAGGAAAACAAAAAAAAAAAGTAATAGCATTTAGTAGCTTTTATCATGTTTCCATTGCATTCATATTCAAAGCTACACAAGATCGCCCAAAATCAAAAAGTTCTCAACTTTTCTTCAAAGTGAAAAGATTGCACTCATATTCAAACCCTATAGCCCTGACAAAGGCTGAAACAAACCAATTAACACCATTCCAAGTTCAAACCTTTTACAAAGGTTAACACTTGAGACAGCTAAAAGAGACAGAAACAAAAGAAAAGTAATAGGATTTCGCAGCTTTTATCATGTTTCCCATTCCATTTCATGTTCAAAGCTACACAAGATTACCCAAAATCAAAATTTTCTGTACTTTTCTACAAAGTGAAAAGATAGCATTCATATTCAAAACCTATAACCCTGACAAGGGCTGAAACAAACCTAACACCATTCCAAAATCAATCCTTTTACAAAGATTAGCACTTGAGACAGCTAGAAGAAAGAGAGACTAAAGAAAAGTAATAGCATTTAGTAGTTTTTATCATGTTTCCATTGCATTTCATATTCAAAGCTGCACAAGATCGCCTAAAATCAAACAAAAAATCCCAACTTTTCTTGAAAGTGTAAGGAAACAGAGAAATTTTAGTCTACTATGGATTGCTCTAACTATTCTCCTGAGTATACAATTCCAATTCTAAACGAAACAACAGATAGATGCAAGACATATCCCAGTTTCAGTTCCTAAAACAGAACAAAGAACATACCTTGTTACGTGTAATACGAGATAAATCAGCTGGCAGTGGTTTATGCGACTTAGACGGTGGTGCGACGTCGATGCGTGGAGGAGAGAGACTACGATTTCGAGAAAGAGCACGGCGGCGACTCACTTGACCAGCAAAAAGATTTGAAAGGTGAACCGGGTTCCTTATCGGGGTTTTGAAATTGACGATCCCGGTTTAGCTTAATCTTGGTTTAGGAGAAGGCCATCAAGTTGAACCGGTCATCAGATTTGTATGTTTCTTTTATTTTTATTTTTTTGTGAACCGTTTCTTTGGTTGTGCCGATGAATAATAAATTTGAGTTGAAACTTGAAAGAAACAATGATGGTGAGAAATTAGAATGACACTTTACAGAGAGCATGATTGGCACAACTTATAGTAGAGCATTAATAATATGCAGCATGAGCAGCATGCTATCATATATTAATATATGATGATGATGATGATATGTGATTGGTATAACAGTTAGCATTTATTTAGCTAGAAATTTACAAAATTACATATTATTATCATACAATTTTATTAATTTTGAAATAGTAAAATTGTAATTTTATTATTATTAATACATAGACTTAAGAAAATCTTTATTAAAAAAATATTTAATATGTAGACTATAGAGCATCCTTATTGGGGATATCTTAGGAAGTTAAAATACCCGGTTTTTGCAAAGAAAATATCTTATATGATCGGATATATGTTGAAAGCTAGTAGTTAAAGTTTGGAAATAAAAAAAAAATCGATTATCAATTATATGAAACAATATAGCTGCTGCAATATTAAATTTATTATTCATAAAATGACTTAAAAACAAAAACAAATAATACAAACGAGATACTAGATCATTATAAACTAGATCATTAAAGCATATTTAGCTTTGACCATTCTTTCAAAGATAATTACCAACTCAACAAATAGATTAAAGATATTGAGACCACGAGACAATTTGCTACGAAGCACCATCTCACTCTCAAAGGTATCCAACACGTAGTTTAGTAGGCTGAGTAGCTTTTGCAAATTCTGAAGAATGCGATACAATGTTTTCACAAGATCGAAGAAGCTGCGAACGTTAGCAATAACCGTAACAAAGAAGTCACGAAGCTTAGTAAAGACAGCAACAAAGAAGTCACGAAGCTTAGTAAAGACAGCGACAAAGAAGTCGCGAAGCTTAGTAAGAACAGCAACAAAGAAACTACGAAGCTTGGCAAACGAAGAGGAGACAAAGTTATGAACCATGTTCTTTGCAGAATCAAACCATTTCGAAACTTTCGAACAAAACTTTCTCCAAAACATTCTTTTTTTCTTTTTCTACTACCAATTGTGAGTTTGGGATATGTAATGGAAAGGATTGATGAGAAGAAAGTGTTATGGATGGTTCTTTTATATATGGGCGTCAGGTCAGGGGCGTGGCGTTGTGGTACGTATATGCATCGTCATATATATGTGTGTATATGTGACCCTCAAAATTCTCTGACTTTAATTATCGTCATATATATATATATATTCGAGTTTCAACAAATTAATTAGCCGTTATTTTAATAAGAAGTGATGCAAAGGTGACCGTCAAAATTCTGACTTTAATTATGGACATATATATATCATTTCTTATTAAATGGAACAGGTTTAGAAACATGTTTCAATTCTAAAATTTGTAGAATATGTACAAATTGGTAGAAGAATAAATAATTTAAAATTTTCAGAACATGCAAAAATGGTAAAATACATTATCTAAACTTTTTAGAAATAAGAAAAAATATTCTAAATATTTTCTAAATATTTAAGAACAAAAATCGTCTATGAAAAAACTATTATTTTCAAAAAAAAAAATGAAAAGCATATACTTCAGATATAGATTCATAATGAATTATTATAATTATTTTCTAATCTTCACATTTTAAAAACGCTTAGAATTTGATTTATATGTGAGTAGTAGTAGTTTAGTCAAAATTGACAATTAGAAGAAAAAAAAAGGTACAAATGAACAAAGTTTTGCAAATATGTCTTTTTTTTTTCAATTTCCCCATAATATATAAGACTTACATAAAATTTATCCATAAATACCTGTTAATAAGAAATGTATTGAAATTTGTTACGTATGGGAAAATGAAGAAAGTTTGGGAAACAGAGGCTGAATGATCAGCGTATTGGAAAACACTCCAGCAAACAACTAACCGGAGACTCTCCGGCTTCTCAAGTAACCACCATCTCATCATCATCGTTTGATTTTTTTTTCAAAAATAGAAAAATTAATTAAATAGTTTTCTTTTTAAAGAGGGTCAAACGATATAATAATATACTTTATTGGCCGACACTAATTAATATTCATTCGGTTTCTAATTAATCAACTTTCTAATTTTTTTACATTAATTAAGCAAAAATGTATTAAAATCTGATATAAATGCATTGTTTTCTGATTTACAATTTTTTAATCAATAGGATTTTATTTCCTATTTTTGAAATTTAAAATTTATCATCAGTTACTAACTAAAACTGCATATGTAAGTTAAAAAATATATCTTTTGAAAAAATATATATATTCCTAGATAACAGAATAATAAAGAAAACATCTAGTAGTATTAATTATTAAATAAACTTGATCACCTTTGATATGATTATAAATGCATTGTTTTCTGATTTACAGTTTTCTATAAGTTTAAATCAATAAAATCTTATTTTCTATTTTTGAAATTTAAAATTCATCATCAATAACTAATTAAATCTGCATAAATAAATATATCTTTTGGAACAAAGGAAAAAAGAGATATTCCTAGATAATAGATTAATAAAGAACACATCTAGTAGTATTAATTATTAAATAAACTTGATCACCTTTGATTTTCTTAAGAATTTATTAACTATGTAACAGTTACATAGTCAAAAATGGCGATATGTTTCCAATAATGGAGAGAAGGTTAACAGCTATAAATAGAGGATTGGTATAGTAGTAATAGTCAGTAAAATAAATCAACAAGAGAAAAAAAAAAAAAAAAAACTATACCACACAAAATAAAAAAGAGATCATGAGAAAGAAGTGTATGTTGTTGATGATGATGATGGCACTGGCGATGATGCCATTACCAGCAATGAGTGAATCATTTGGAGATTGTGAAGTGAGATGCGATTATTCATGCCAAATATATTACGTCGAAGTGAAACAATGCATTAACGATTGTATTGTTAACAAATGCTACAAGCGGCCAATTCGGTATGCATAATAATGTTTTATGTCCTTTGAAAATGCTTACTATGTAATAATGAAATGTTCGAAATTTTGATTTCAAAGAGAAATTTAGCCATTGTACTATAGGGCAGAAAGAAAAAATATTAATCATCTGGAATCGAACTCTAGATCGTTCTTTATATAAAAGGCAGTTTAGCCAATTGACCTACATAGAACCATTGTAATGTACATGCTTACTATATAATGTGTGTACAGTTTGTTATAACTTATACACTATGTAATGTGTGTCTTGACATGGTGTCTTTTGGTGGCAATGGATTTTGCAGGACAGCGGCTAAAGGGATGTTTCAAGAAAGCAATGTTTAGAGAAAAAGATATATCTACTCTTTACGTTTAGGTCTTGAATGTTTAGTGAATTTTTAATTTTTGGATTTCTTAAAATTTAGTAAAACTATTTTATTATAATCTTTTATTCATGATTTTAGATTTTTAAGTTTCCTACAATTTAGAGAATCTAGTTTTTAGTTTTTGTACGTTATGTTTCTCAATAACCAAAAACCAAAAACTGAAATTCGAAAACAGTATCCATTCATAGCCTAAGTATCATTTTAAATATTTTCACACTTGTTAAAAAAACGTTAAATATTAGGTATAAAAATAAAACGGAGGAAATACTAGCTTTTTCATTTGTTTCTCATTTTATATGATTTGAATAATATAATTTTACCATCATATATATATTTTCTAATTCCATTGTTGTCTTATTGTATACTTCTTCGATCATTTTCTAGTCTTGGTACAATAAAGCCTCACCTGTCGTGGCTGAGTATCCAGAACTATGGTCCTGGCCGATCCTAACAATCATATCTCCTCTCATCAAATTTTAGGATACAAAAGATTGTGAAAATGTTGGAAATTAATTTCGTATAATATGTTTCATAACATATCTTATTTGTAACTGAAGAAAATGATAGAAAATATGTGGAATTCATAACATCAAAATATCAATTCATTTATATATAATTCTGAACAAAATCTTGAAATAAATTACATTGGACGATCCTTCTACAACAATGATCTTGTGTACTTGAAATCTTAGTTCAACAATATCTTGAATTCGATATTGTATCATGTCTAAAAAAAAAATGCATATGAAAACGTGACGAATGATCTACAATATCCTTAATTAACTAAGGCTACCACCAGATTTCTTGGATTTTTTGCTAGCGTGAATCTTAGCGTAAATCTCCTTAGTCCTATAAGCCAACACAAGATCCAAACCAACTCCAACAACAGAAGCTAATGCCATGACAATGAATATGAGACGGTAACAATGAGCTCCTACGCACGTGTTGCCTCCACCAGGTGTTGGTGTGGCCTCTGCATCGTAGAGGAAGCCAGCTAGGAGACCCGAGAAGAGGAACGAGCCAAGTGGCAAGTTAAGTACTAAGATGTTGTAGATGAGACCGTAGTACTTAAGACCAAAGAGTTCAGATGCTGTTGGCACGGTAATAGCTAGACGAACACCGTAACAAACACCAACCACCATTGAACCGATGTAAAGTGAATTAGGCACGGCTAAAGCCATTAGTATATATCCTACGGCCATAAGGATTTGAGAGGCTGCGTTCCATAATGGTCTTGGTGTTCCAGCTTTCCTATAAGATTAAAAGATTAACAAATTTACATTACATTGGTTAGTAAAAGTTACATAACCTTTTTTATAAAACAAAAAAATGTTATAAAGAATCCAAAATAAGGAAAAGAAATTAAAGTGGGCACGTGAAGAGAAATCAATTAGTCTGGTCCAAAGTATGAAAAAGAACAAAAACTAGTTAAATGAATCAACCAGAAAATTCTAAAAGATCCCTTTTCTTTATAAGAGAAAATTCATTCATTCAAGGAAAACAAATTATATGCAAATCTAGAAACGCATTGAATTTTGCATTTCCATATATGAGAATGAAATTTATACACGTCACGTTACAGCTTTGTAATGAATATTATTAATTAATGTTAGATTTTAGAATTGATATTTTCAATAGTAGCATCGTTCAGAACGACACAGAGCTATGGATTGAATAGTAGTAAACTATGGGCAAAAAAACGTGCATTAGCTTGGTAGTCCGCTCCATTTTTCGCAACGAACAATGAAAAGCCGACAAATGTGCATTATCTTTTGTCGGCTTTTCACTGTTCGAGCCGAGGAGCGGATCAAAAAGTGAATGGTAAAAAAAAAAGGATAGAGAGTTAAAATGGAGAACTTACTTGAGGAAGTATTCGGAGAGAGTACCGGAGAGAATGCGACCGAAGAAACCCCAAATACTAGTCATGGAGACAAAGATTGAAACATTTGTGTAACCAAGGGCAAGACCAATCTGACCCATATTGTTCATCACAGCTAAACCAGTTCCTACACCACACAAGAAGGACACAAAAAGCACCCAAAAGTCAACTGTCATTATTGCTTCCATTATAGTATGGTCTTCTCCTAACACCGGTCTCTTCTTCTCCATCCCAACCTCCTCTTGAGCAGCAGCTACAACAACTACTTCTTTCTCCACGGCCGTGATCTCTGATCTGAGCAACGGTTCTTGAATCCGTCCTTCTAAGTCATCTTGTTGTCCATGGTTCAAGCTTTTGATGAATGAGTGGAAAGGTATAGCTATTGGAGAAGCTAATAAGAAGAGAAGTATAGAGGCGAAAGCAACAGAGAATACTCCTGTTTTGATTCCAATGATGTCGTAAGACTGAAGGTACACAGCAACAACGACGGCCACAATGTTGAACACAGTGAAGTAACGAGTCTCTTCATTCTCCTCTTCCGCTGAAGAAGCCGGTGGGATCTCCCGGAGAAAGAACACAGCAGTGAGACATACAGCAAAAGGCACTACCGCTAACAAAACCAAAAACGACGCCGGATCGTTCGAGAACAGAGCAGTACATAGATCAGTGAATATAGCAGTACTTAAACCAACGTATCCTTTCAAAATCCCTGAGACAGGACCACGGTTTCGTCTGAAGTTGCGTATACAAGTCACTAACACCGCCGTGTTCATCCACGTTGTACTGTTCCCTCCCATACAGAGGAATATACACATCTGAAAAAAAAAATCAAGAAAAATAAGTAATTCTTGATTTGGTTTCAAGAAAGTTCAAGATTTTCAAAAAAGAAGTTAATTCTTGAATCTTGATTTGGTTTTCAAGAAAGTTGAAGATTTTTTAGTATTTAACAAACCTGCCAATAAGAGATTGGTTGAATAGTGCGGCTAACAACAAGCCATTGTACACCATAACCAAGAAGACCTTCGAAACAACCTATAAGAAGTATGACAGGAGTAGGAAGACGATCAGAAGCAAGACCAGCGAGGATTCCAAAAGCTTTACCGACATCTTTAGCTACGGATAAGTTGTTGAGTTCGAGCTGGTTTAGGTTCATGAGAGACTTGAGAGCACCGGAGTAGTTAGAGAAAGTGTAGTTGTTTCCGGAGATGGCTTGAACCCAAACAGCTGTCACGAATCCAAGCCATTTTAGAGAGGAAGAAGAAGAGAAAGATCTTCGGAAACCCATTAATGTTATAATGAAAGAGAGATAGATAGAGAGATCAATGTGTGGATGAGTCGTGGAACCGAACCGTGTAGGGATGGTTTTATAGAAATATAGGAAAAGGGAAAGGTCCTTTTTATGCTTTGCGTGTTTTGTATATTATGTAATAAAGTAGGTTTTGACAAAAAAAAATTTGTCAAAAGTTTGTAAAGAAGAACACAAGTTGTATAATCTATTCTAACATGTGGAATGACTAGGGAAGGTGCGTACGACACCGACATGTACGGTTTAAGTTGGTGTATAAACCGTGGATATTAAAATTATACGGCGTGCTCATTTTTATGTGTATTTTTCTTTAGTGCTTATAAAAGTAGGTGACCAAGTTGTGTATCTTTTAGGAATATACGGTTGGATCTCTATTAGTTATTGTTCCGATCCGTTCTGAAAATTAGGAGGGTTCGAATGCTGACGGTATATATTTGACTGGGGGAAAACGGTTTTAATATACGTTATGGTTTAACTACGGTATTTAAAAAAAACAAATTTGTGGGATAAAAGTAATTTATAATGTTTTTGGACCGCTAGATAAATACTATTTATGTTTTTAAAAATGTTTCATACTTTTATATGTTTGTTAATTCGGTAAATCTGAGTTTTTTTCCTTCAAAATGCAAAAAAAGAAAAGAAATCGAATTGAATAATAACAGATGTGCGTTATTATAGTGTGAAACAAAAAACACTCCGCATTTAATGTCACCATTCATGGTCTGAGTGTTCAAAAATTTTAGATACATCAAGATATATGTATAGTTTACATTGGGATTCGTATACAAGACGAATTATTATTAGTTTTTTGTTTTGTATTCTTATGGATAAAGAAGCAATTTATGTAATTTTTTGTTGTTGTATAACTCTTTTAATTATTGTTGACAAAAAAAGGTGATTATTAATTTTCATACCGATTAATACATTTTTTTGTATTTGAATGAAAAATAAACAATTAAATTCGTTGGGTCCTAGGAAGATTTTTGTTTGTATTTGACCCTTTTCATGATTTGTTTTTGAAAAAAATTTCCTTTCTTTTGACAAGAAATGTACAGATTTTATAGAAAAATTTCTAGGAAAACCACACTTTATTTTTTTTTTCAAAAATACTATTATTAGTTCGATGATCCAAAAATATCACAAAATATTTGGTTTTTTTAATATCACAAACACAAAAATAAAATTTGAAGAGTTTAAAATTTAAATGTTTAGCTTTGGATTAATTATTTTAGATTTATGATATAGTATAGTGTTAGCCTGTTAGGTGGTGATAGGGTTTAGTGTTTCTATTTTGAATTTTGAAGATGAAATTAATTTTATTTTTGAAGGATTTACCGAATTATACTTTTTAAAGACATCCCATTTATCACCTACTACATACTAACTCCTAACTCGAGTTTCACTTACAAAAAATTTAGAAAATCTTAAAATTATCAGATGAGAAAATATACAAACTTCGACCTCTCTGAAAAAAATAAAAAAGGTTTTACTATTGTAGACTCTGCCATAAACTTTCAAGGTAACTCTTATAGCATAAATTTCAATAAAAACATTTTATAGAAAACGTGCTCTATACCCAAATTCATATAACTTAATATATAAAGATATGTCCATATTCATCTTGTTTTATTTAAATTAAAATATGTATGTTGCCATTTTTGTCTAGATTCACGATGTTGCCGTCGTCTTCAAAATATCTTAAGACAAAGATTGACTTTAAATTTGGGGTTGAATCGGTACAGCTAGCTAGTTTGCTAGACAACCCCACGATCACGATCATGAAACTATAAAATTTCATCAATTTTTTTCTATTCCAAATATGTTGCGTTAATGTTTTATAATTCCAATACCAGACGTATCAATTTGATAACAATGCCTGTTAAC